CATACGACACTGAATTATGTTCTGAACTCAGTTGGGACGTAAGTACCTTCACTCTAGACCTTCTGCAAAAGTCTTGCAACCATGGCGTCGTGGGCAGGCTCGGCAAGCTGCTTATGACACTTCGAGCGCACTTGTAGCTTCGTTGGACTGTCTATTCGCTTTTGTTGTGGGCAAGAATATACAGCCTCTTTGTGACGAGAGTTGCGATGGTGGTTTGCTTGAGCTTTTTCCTGTTGGTGTTTTGCAACGATCATCCAAACTGACCTTTTTGGGAGTAAAGCATGGCCTTTTGTTTTCACCACTTTGGAGCTTTGTATGGTATAGCTTTTGCTCTGTGGAGTCACCAGGATTTGCCTGTACATGTGCGAACCGGTGATCATCCTCTTTGGACTGTCTCAGAGATTCGAGCAGGCGATGCCTCTGTCACTCTGGCGTCCAACTCAGTTCTTTCGACTATCTTTTAAACGCTGTGTTTGAAGCTTTGAATCTGTTGGTACAGTAGCCTGTTCTTGTACATCGAGGCCAGAGATTAGCATTAGAAAGTCAATTGTTTGCTACACCTTGCCCTGGCCTGCTTTCGGTAGCACAGGTGGTTGGAGCCAAGCTCCTTTACTTTACTCGTCGTTCATCCATTCGTTCGGCGAGGGATGTTGCGAGGCCCTGGCCGTGAGGACAGTTGGTGGCTTGTTTAGGCTGGCACGTCTGACCATCTAACGCCCAGTTTCGAGACTCTGGACTCGATTGTGCGCTGCCTCTTTGTTACTAGTAGTAAGGCAGCCACTGGGCCCAAAGCTCGAAGGCTTAGGAGTCCGGCCCCCAGCGGCTGCTAGCCGCACTGCTCAGTGCGGGGGCAGTGTCCACTAGCTGCCCCCCAAAGGGCAGCAGGCCGTGTTTTGTGTTGGTAGTTCCTGGTGACCTTGAGCGCTGTGAGCCATGGACGAGCTGGAGGACCTCCTGTCAGATCTCCAGAAGCATGCGAAACCTTTAGTCCGCAGTTTGTTTTCTGGCTTGCAGGAGGGAGCCTACCCGATGGTGGGCTCCCGAACTGCCGTCGCTGGTGGTGTGATCTCGTACGGAGATGACTGGGTGGACCTCATGGCCATGTGGTTTGTTCCTGGTTCTGGCTTTGTGCCCCCGAAGAATGACATGCCCACCAGGGTCCGGATTCATGATATCCTCCACAGGAACCTCCATCTGTGTCCAGGTGCTCAAATTGTTTGCATTGGAGACAAAGAGCTGGGTTCACATGAGCATGAGCTTTTCCTGCATGATGCGAAGATCTGCTTCCGACCAGATTTTGATCCTGCGCTTCCATGGGATTGCCTTCACAATTTTTGTGGAGGCTTCAGCGGCTGGAGTCAAGCTCTTAGATGGTTGGACCACTCTCGAGAAATCTGCTTAGGCCAGGAGATCTTTGTGGATTGGGATCCTCAGATCATGAAGATTTGGAGCATCAAGCATGGCCTGCCACATCGCCTCCTTCCACTTCCTAGCAGGGAGGCTTGGTGTCCGGCAAAATTGGTCGGCCTTTGTGGATGTGTCAGCGATCCCTCCATCATCGAGGTGTGCCGATCTCAAGTAAACCTGCTCACCACCATCTCTCCGCCCTGCCAGAGCTGGAGTAAGGGCGGACGTGGACAGGGTCTGAACGATACCAATGGCCAAGCATTCTTGGATGCGCTGGTGCAGGCCTTCTCGCTGCAAGTCATTGCCATCGTGGCAGAATGTGCAGATGACACTGCAGTTCATCCGCATTTTAGGCTAGTTAAAGCCCTTGCAAAAGCCATGGGTTTCCGACTTGTATGGGACCAGATCACTCCGTATCATCAGATGACCTCCCATGCTCGCTCTCGATGGCTCGGAGTGTGGGTTCGAGCCGACGCCGCACTGCAGCTGTTTCCTTTCCAGCTCAAACTGCCAGTCATTCCGCAAATGCATTGGACCGATCAAGCCTGCCAGTTCCCCATCCCTCAGAGATGGGCCTCTCAGCTTCGGCTGTCAGATTCGGAATGTCGAATATATGACTCACCAGTGTTTTTGCCACCTGCAAAACGGCCTAGGTATGAGAACCGGGAGGTGAAGACCAATGAGATCATCAGATCACGAGCGCCGAGTAGTGCCGACATCCTCCCTACTCTGTGCGCTGCCTACACGCGCCAACACCAGTTGGCAGAGCATCATCTCAAACAGAAAGGCATCTTTGCATGCCTACGTGAGTCAGCGATTGGATTTCATTTTCTTGAACCTACTTTGTTCTGCAGTCTGTTTGGAGCATGTGAACATGTCGTCCTTTCCGAAAAGATTGGAGAGTCATTCCATGTGGTCGGCAATGCCATTTCGGTTCCCCATAGCCTCTTGGCTTTGTCCATTGCCCTCCACTGTACGTGTTCAGGCAAGATTGATCCAGTTGGAATTGTTCGCAAAGCGTGGAGTGAGAGGCTCACTGCATATAATGCATTCGTCTTTCATCATGAAGGCTTTGTACACCTAGTGCCAAAGAGAGATTTTTGGAAATGGATATCTCCTAGGCCCCAGCTGCCTGAGGCATGCAAGTGGACTCTGATAGGAACCTGTGTTGACCAGAGGGTTGCAATTGATGTGCACTCTCACCACACAGTGTCGCAAGCGTTCCTGGCCAACTTTTCAGGACCTCAAGACCTGGTCACACAATTCCATGCCAGGAATGAAGACATTCGAGTTTCGAATCAGACCACCATTGAGCACATTGCACGCCAAGAGTGCACCTTTCGACTTGCCATTGGGAATGCCAATATCGGAGATATCGAGATTCGCTCCGTGCCTTCCACTAAGGTCATCGATGATTTCCCAAAGGATGCTTCGCCTCTCGAGCTCCAGATTGCGACCAAGCACTTTGAGGACTATGTTTGTTCGGCTCTTTTCTGGGCTGTTCAGCAGGTCGTCGAAACACTGCAAGACGACATTCAGCCCAAGCCATGTGCTGCATCAGTCGTTATTTTGCCGGAGCAATTGGCAATCACAACTCGTATGTCTGAGGCAAGTGGAATGCAATTTCTGCAGAGAATTTCAACATTGCCGGTTTTCAGCAACCGAAACAAGAGACTTTGCCAAGTTCCAGGGGAACCCGATTCCTTCCTGCTTATCTCAGCTGTGCGAGATTGTGAAGAACCAGTCAATGTTGAAGTCATTGTGCGATCAGACCAGGGTTGGACCAGCGGTGCTTGCGTACCTCCAGCATCTTCCTCTATCCAATTCCGCGGTGCTGCCCAAGATCGACATGAAGTCGCCAAAATCAATGGTGCGCCCACAAGCGATTTGCAGCGTGCCCTCAAGTATGGTGATATTCTCGACATTTGCGCGACTTGTCCAGTCCATGCAGGCGGACACCATCTCAATGTTGCTGCTCCACCAAAGCTACAGGCTTTTGCAGACTTCACAGCCAGAGTTGAATTTATGTGTGACACGCATGGCTGGCTCGCCACCGACGAGATGTTCCACTATTCACAGGCCCTTCAATGGCAGCAGGAATGGCTCCGTTTTGGCACACCGCAATTGTGGAATGTAGCAAATGGTGATTTTGAGCCACCCATTTTCGGTGAGCTCCACATCCCGAACAATGCCACGACTGCGATTCCAGTTCTCATTGGCAGCCACTGGGCTGGTATTGAAGTTACAAGACAAGGTATTGACACCTCAGTCGTCTTCATCCATGTGCACGAGCAGCATCAGACTCAGCTTACCTTCCTGGTAGCACGGTTGCTTGACATTGCACCGCACAGATTCCAAGTTCGCTGTGAGCACAATGATCCGCCCCCACACCTGTGTGGCTGGCTTCTCATCTTTCGCTGGTATCGGCGACATGGCATCCATCAAGGCATTGCTGATCTGTCGAACCAAATCCATTTGAACCCCGAGTACAATCAGTTGATCCAGCTTGCTATGCAGTGTTCAAATGAGGACTGGGCTTTGGCTCAGATTCCTATTGAGATTGGGCAACTTGCTCACACACTCAGGAAGAATTTTCTGTGCTTTTTGGCTCGACGAGAATTCCAAGGCCGACCTCATCAACAAATTGCTCTGGACACGGCTTGTCCTCCTATGCAGCCGCAGCCGTACATCCAGCAAGAGCAACAGCAAGTTCAGGTCGCGCCTCTGCCTTGGTTGGACCGGACACAAGCTATCCTTGACAGGATTCGAGACAGACTTCAGTTGATCCTTCAATATCCAGCCTGGCTTTCGTCTGATGAGCTTGACATCGCTCTGGAAGGACCCAGAGCCATGAATCCAGGGACTCTATTCTGTCCGCCTTCATCGTGGAGCGTCGGTGCCTCGCACTTGCACTTCTTCAATGACTACATGCCAGACTACAGAGCCTTCAATCAAGTGATTTGGATTATTGAAGTTGACAGACACTGGGTTCAGGCAGAAGCGTACTTGCATGAAGATGCTTCTAACTTCGCCTTCACCTTCCCGGCCAACAGTCACATCAGGCTTCAACCACTTGTCGACCACCTACTCAATGTGACTGGTGCCAGAGATACACAGATCTCTATCCACTTCTATGACCAAGTCAGTCCACAAGGCATGTGTGGCTACCAGCTCGTCGCGAACATTTACCAGAGATTGGCAGCAAACACGATTGCTCTTCAGCCACCACAGAGACGCCTTCTTAGCTTTCATCACCTTGCTGCTGACCTTGATCGAGCCCACATCGAAGCACGGGCACAATGGACCGCTGCAGGAGCCAGTCCGCATTTCATTGACTTTGCGGCCAACCTTCGTCAGTGGTTTCTGGTCCGAATTGCAGAAAACAGATTCCCTAGTGATGTCATCTCAGCAGGAGCGAATGATCAGGACGTTGCCATGAAGCCAGCAGAGGCAGTGGATCATAGTGCGGCAAGCCGTCCTGCAGCCGCCGCACCTGCTTCTGCCAAGGACCCGTGGCTCAAGGCTGATCCTTGGCTTAAAGCCACCCCACGTCCAGCACAAAGCAAGTGGGAAGACCTTGTCATCAAAGAGCCAATCCCATTCACGGGAACCGATGGAGCTGCCTTGACACAAACACATCGTTTGCAAGTTGGTGGAGCTCGGGGCGGCCTTGTCTTTGCTACCAAAGCTCATATCCAGGACATCGCAAAGGCAGTGGGATCTAGTGAACTCGCAATTCTTTTGCCAGCAAGTGACAACCTGGCGTTGCCGATCTTTCAGAACAAATTGCAAGGCCCTTTTGAAGTGTCTGTCGACGATACATCAGCCAAGATTGCCTACAAGAGACTCGTGATGCTATTCACAGTTCGAGGAACTATCAACTACAAGTTGCCAGAACCAGTCGCCAAACTCACTACTGGCGC